ACCAAAAAAGTTTCTCCTCTATTCCATCCTATCCACCATCAGACGCCCGCGCAAGCATCCACACAACAATTGCACTCAATATAGTCATAGATAGACATAAACATATATGTATCAAACCCAAACCTGAAATCTAAACATGCACTGACGCACTTGATGACGTCATAAGGCTTATATAGGAGTAAAATACGCTTTTCAGCATTTTACCTTTTTATTTCGCTTACCGTCTTTTATATATTTTTTGGGTTTTTTTTTTATTTTTGTCAATCTGCAAACATTTTCTTCCCATTTTCCCTCGTCATATTGCTTTATTTCATACTCGTTCAATTCTTTTCAGAGACCACACATTTTAAGAGCAAATAAATGTAATAGTAGCGATCATCCAAACATGAGCGCTTTTAAAATAAAAGTAGCCACAAACATATAGATGCAAGAACAAACATTCAGATATTTCGTTTAAAAGCATTGAAAATGTTTCTGTTTTTTGGAGTTTTTGTTGTATTTTATTTCAAATGACTGTTTATTCTTTTGTGTTGTTTACATTTTTTGTAGAAGTTGTAACATTCAAAGCAGAGCAACAACAAATAAAAGCATGTTTATATACAAAAACTCACACACACACATACATACATACATACATACATACATACATACATACATACACACATACATACATACACACATACATACAATTAAATACAAAAACGTCCAAATATATATTTATTCTATTGATAAACAGAAGCTTGCCTACCAAGCCAAAATACATTAACATTAACCACGGATGAATGAGCAAACTGTTGTTGCGAGTGAAAATGCTACATAAATACTTACATACAGAGACACACACACATATATACACACATACATACATGCATGCATACAGACATGCAAACAGACATACAGACATACATACAGACAGATACCCATACACAGCACTGCTCTTATCCAAAAACAAGGCAGCGTTACTATCTGATTGACGTTTAGTTCACTTGATTCACTTCATTCTTTTGTGATTCACTTCATTCTTTTGTGATTCACTTCATTCTTTCAATTTATTTCACTCTTGGACAACAAAGATGAAAGCTTACATTACAATAACATCCATTATAATTTACGACCAGCCGAATCAATACTCATAGAACGAAGTCATCTGATGATAAATACTCAACAAAATGCAACTGGAAATTTCAAATGATGACGATGATGACGATGGTGACGCCGCTGCTAATGGCAATAATTGTGGCTCAATAAATAACTACACTAATAGAAGCAGAGACTTGAACGAAGATTCTGATTATGAGGATGATGACGACGACGATGATGACGATGGTGATGATTACCGTCTTCATCATCATTAGCATAATCTCAAATATTGTAAATACCTTAGTAAGTTTACTCACCGTACTGTTCTTCAGATCGTAAACTGGCCTTGATATGACGATGACAGGCTGCATGTTCTATATAGTAATGAAATAATTTTTTTTGAAAATTTAACAAAACTAAAGTTAAAAAAAAATAAATAAATAAAACAAACACTTAAATGAGTAGTAAATTTAAAATAGTGATTGGTAAAATGATGTCATCGCCATCATCGTCGTCGTCATCATCGTCACAATCATGTGAGTGATCTTTCGTCTCTAACATTTCCCATCCAACCATTCCATAGAATCAGTAGCAGCAGCAGCTAGCATCCAAACAGAACAGAGCACTATAAGGATGATTAATCAAATTCAACGCCAGTTTAATCGTTATCCATCTTTCTTGATGTTGGCTTTATTTATTATCACCCTTGTTGCCATCCTCATCGTTATTTTCTACGTAATCGGCGTCATCATCAGTCTCATCATCTTATCATTTTTATCATCATAGTCTACGTCATCATCATTTTCACCATCGTCGTCATCATCATATCCTAAACAATCGTCGTTATCATCGTCTTTGATGATAGGCTTCCAGTTTAGCACTTTTACGGCAAATTCTAGTTTAATGGGGCCTTATTTGTATAAGTTTTTTTTTATTATTTTATTGTTCGTTTTTTGTTTCATTTTTCTTTATTTTAATTTCTATCATTAACTTCGAAATAATGATTGGTGAGTTCTTTGCTTTCATCATGTCAATATTCTTTTTTTAAATTTTTTATTTGTTTCAATGTTTACCTCATTCACAACAATCATCACCATCATCATCATCGTCGTCGACTATTTCATCACTATCATCATCATCATCGCTATAATCCTCCTCCTCATCATCATCATTCTCACATCACTATTCTCACCATCGTCGTCGTCGTCATCATCTTAAACACAACGTGCCAAAAGACAGCAAACATTTTTCTCAACAACTACAAACAGCTAATAGCTAACGATTATGTTTTCGTAATGCGTGGTCCAAACCACGTGACTTGCTCTGTGCAACGTCATTGGCCGGCTGATGACGTGTATGTATTCCTGGAGTAAAACAGTTGAATTCTTCATCATCATTGTCAACGTCATCATTGTCGTCATCGTCATCACAATTATCATCATAATTTTTATTGTTATTGTTATAAATGCGTACTTATATGAATACCGCGTACAAGCACCTACCTGTATGTGTTCGTGAATATCTGCCATCGTAGATATGTGAGAATAATAGCCTGTGATGTAATATTGTTAGATATAATATGAATTATTAATAATTAATAATAATATAATTATTAATAATTTCTGCATACATATTTACATACATACATACATATTTACATACATACATACATACATACATACATACATACATACATACATACATACATACATACATACATACATACATACATACATACATACATACATACATACATACATACATACATACATACATACATACATACATACAAACATACATACATACATACATACATATAGTACCTACCTTTATTAGTGCATGCAATGTGTTCCACGTTACTCGAGTCACCGACTTCACGGCCGATCAGATACGTGAAGATACGTACCTGTTTTAGCAAGAATCACCCTTTCAAGAATCACCTTTTTATATTACTTTATCGATTCAATCGATCTTTTTCTCCTTTTTCACTCGTTCATTCATTCGATTTTTTATTTATTAATGTTTTTATGTTTTTTTGTTATTTTAGTTGTTGGTTATTCTTCCTTGGCTAAGTTGTTCACTTGTTTGGTGAATGATTTTACAGGTTTTACTCGTAATTTTTAATATTATTACACTCAAATAAACTGGTATACAAACAACTGCACATACACGCAAACAAACAAACACACGCACATGAACGCAGACCCACACACACACACAAACAAACACAAACAAACAACCACATACACACAAACATTTACTCAGACATACATTTGAATTTGGCCATCGAGCTTTAAAGGCATTGAACATGTCGTCATAAGCCTCCGTTGCACCATCAGTTATCAGCATTATCATTCGATTGCATGTCTTAAACGATGATGAAGAAGATGATGATGATGACGATGAAGATGACGAGGTTGATGACGATGAAGATGAAGATGACGAGGATGATGAAGTTGATGACGTTGTTGATGACGTCGATGAGTTTGTATAATCCTGTAAAATGTTTCATCATTCTTTGTATTAACTTCGTAGTCATGGTATGTCTATTATCATCGTTTGCATCATCATTATTATCATATTATTATTATCGTTCTTATCATCATCATCATCATGAGTTTCTAGCATTAAAACCATTTTACATTAAATTAGAAAAATTACAACACTTTTATCATCTTATCATGGTTCATCGTTATTCATTAAACTATTTCAGAGAGATTTTATAACAAACTGTTTAGCAGTAATTCAATTTGCGAATATTCATTTTAAAAAATTTAATTGGAAAAAAGTTTAACAAATTTTTAAATGAAAACTTATCAAAAGAGTAGATTGAGTCGTAAAAATTTATTAAAAAATCAGATAAAAAAAACAAAAATACTGAATAAAATTCAATCAGGTTTTCAAAATGTCAAAAGGTCAAACTTTATTGAGAAGTTCAAAGGCCACATTAAATGCCATTTCATAGTTGGCCATGTTCTGCGTTGTTAGGCCTGTCTTTAGTTTTTCTATGATGATCTTTATATGATATGAGTTTGTGTGTGTTTGTGTGTGCGTGCGTGTGTGTGTATATGTGCGTGTACGTGTGTCTGTGTGTGCGTGTGTATATGTGTGTGCGCGCAAAAATACGAAAAAATATGTAAAAAATATTCTTTTTTTTAAAATAATATTGCTAGTGCTGGTACTATTACTACTGTTACTGTATTTAGAGTGAAACAACTACTACTACTACTACTATTACTACTATTACTACTACTACTACTACTGCTACTGCTGCTGATGCAGCTGCTTCTACAAACCTTTTTGTTTGATGGAGTACCTTGCAGTAAGGTCCCATTATAACATGGCACCAAATAATTTATGGTGTCTGAAAACTGATGATGGTGGTGGTGATGAAGATGATGATAAGGATGAGATAGAAAATGAGGATGACGATTGATGACTATGATAATGACGACAATGATGCTGGTGATGATGACGACGATGATGACGATGATGTTGACGGTTAAGATTCTAATATTATATTTTATAATTATTGAAATGTTAAAGAAGATGACGAATATTTTGAGAGCCGTCACAGTATCAAACTCAAAATTTGATTGAATCATTCATGTCATTTTAAAAGAGTTCATTTTGACAAGAAAAAATACAACACACAACTATATCAACCAACCAACCAACCAACCTGCCAATCAACCAACCAACCAAACAAAAATAGAATATAATCAATTTTGAATACAATAATGAAAATTTTAATAAATTGTATTCAATATATAAACTATAAAATATTTAACTAACAAAACCTATCATTGGCTTATCAAGAAAAAACAAATAAAAATTTCAATCACATTAAACCAACACCAAACAAATGATTCAACCAAATCAACTAATCCTAAACGATCCAACACCAGTCTAACTTTTATAACGTTGAAAAAGTCATCGACACCAAACGTTTCCACAATTTTTTCCACTGTTGTCCTCGCGATTTCTCGTCTCAGACCTCTCATGCTGCCACTACTGTCGATCAAAATTATCGCGTTCTTCGGGCTATTTGCAGCTCTTATGTACCTGAGATTGCGTTTGTTGTGTGTGATTTTTGATGGCTCAAGTAGCTAGAGTGTCAAGGTTTGATTTTAGTTTGAAAGGCGCAGTGAGCGGATTCGATACCAAGAGATTTCTAGAAACGTTTCGATGTTAATTTGTCATAATTTGCTGCTGTCAATTTCATCATTTTTGTTGTGATATTTTCACCATCCTTTTTAATGTCATCTTTATTATTGTCAATGAGATTATTGCAAATATTAATCATCTTAGTCATAGTCGAAATCATCATCACACGTTTATAATACTCATCTTCATCACCACCACCACCATCATCATCGTCGTCGTCGTCATCATCGTCATCACCGTAATGAAAAAATGTTATGTGAGTTCAAATGATGAATGCTTCTCACCATGGTTGGAGGCGGCAGTCGTACAAATCAACGTCATCCTCCTGATGGCTCGGCCACCTAACTCCTTGTGACGTCATCGTTATTAATATAACTACGTCATCGTCGTCGTCGTTGCTGTCACCATCACCATTATCGTCGTTGTCGCCCACATCGTCATCCACATGTTTGTCATCACCATATCATCATCCATATCATCATTTTCATCATCATCCACATCATCACCATCATCCAGGTCATCATCATCATGTCCATCATCATCACAACCTGGAAAAATCCTCATGAAACCAGCGGAACTGGCGAAAACCTGCCAGGAGAGGTCAGGGTCATCTTGAAAGTTTTTCGTGAACGTTCCATCCAATTCGGAGGTCCAAGTTGCCCCGCTAATAATGGAAGAAGCTGGTGAGGATGATGATGATAATAATGATGATGTAGTGATGATGATTATGATGATGATGATTATGATGGAAATGATGATTGTGATGACTCCAAAGAATCAAGAAAATAAGAGTGAGTGAATCGTCAGGTAAGCTGATAGTGCAGAATCCATTCTTCCCTACTACAGAATGACGATTCAATTAATATTTAATCGCTCGCGGGGAAAGAGCCTAATTTGCAAAACTGAACAACGAACAATTCAATTTAGCAGCTTGAATGAAAATTTTCATTGTTCTTCGCTGTACGATCGGAAAAATCGTAAACCTTTCCCGACAACTTCTTAATTACTTCGTTACAATTGAATTTGCTGTGCTACAAAGACTGCGCCAACCACGCCACACCGCGCCGCGCCACACAGCGTAATTTCATGTGTACGTGCAAATACATCGTTATCATACACACAAATCTCAAAATATATTTTATTTCTAGACTGATTTGGTATTGGAACTAGGACACCGCGCAAGAACAACAGCGCAAAACATTGTAGACAGACACTCCTACCGATTGTAACTTTTTGATTGATTCATATGTCCATTAATTGATAGATGGTTGAATGTCTCGGTAAATTTGTTTCCAACGTATGATAGGTTCGGTTGCTAACAATTTTGTCATAATCATCAATAAATGCATGTATGTACATATGGTTGAATAAAATTAATGGAGTGAATGAATGAATGAAGGTGTGAAGGAATGAAATAGTAAATGAAAAAATAAATGAGTGAATAAATGAATGAGTGAATGACTGAATAAATGGGTGAATGAATAAATGAGTGAATGAATAAATAAACGAGTGAATGAATATATGTGCAGTAGATAAGCAAATGAGTGATTGATGGTTATGTTGACTTGTCAATTTTTTCAGCAAAAAAAATTGAAAAAAAATGATCGATTGATCTGAACGAACTAATGCAAAAGTTATACGACTGACTATTTTACTATTTTCACAAGTCATTTTATCGATTTAGTAAATAAAATTATTTAAAAAAAAGAAAGGAAAATCAAAAGCAGATTTGGCAATAGAGTGTGCTTAGCACGAGTTAAGAAGAAGTGAGAACAAGAAGACGATCGTAGGTTCAATTAGTATATCTTATAAGTACTTAGGAAATAATTTAGATTAAGACTTATACATAAATGCGCAAATTTTAAAAATTATTCTGCATTTTATAGGTAACCAGTGCAAGAGAACAAGATATGGAGATATATGAGAAAAGAAAGGGGCACGAGCAACTAGACGAGCAGCAGAGTTAAAAGCTTTACTTAAAGGATAGAGTATAGAATCAGGAAGACCATAGTAGAGCGAGTTACAATAATCAATCCTAGATAAGACTAACAAAGTAACAAGTAGGAAAAGAATAGGATCGTCAAAAAGAGGCAAAAGTTTTTCTATTCTACGTAGATGAAATAAGAATTTTCAGCAACACTATTAATCTGAGACAAAAGAAACATGCTTGAATCAAAGATAAAGCCTAGGCTACGAAACTTGTGAAAAACATCAAGAGTTTTAGTATCAGGAAAGATAAATAATAGAAGGAGTAGTAATAGAGTGTTTAGATTTATTAAAACAAATTAATTCAAATTTAGAAGGATTAAGTTTAGGGCACATAGAGTCAGGACCAAGCGATAATTGAAGAAAGACATAGAGATAGATGATGTGATGAACACTATTGTGATTAGATGGAGGAAAAAAAGTATAAATATATAAATCATCAGCATATAGTTGACTAGAGAAAGAAAAGTTATTAATAATACGAGGTAGTTCAGAGGTATAGAGTATAAATAGAAGAGGGCCAAAGATAGAACCCTGAGGTACTTCAAAAGTAAGAGTAGGGGAGTTAGATGTACCATTATTGAGAACAACAGATGAAAAACGATTAGAATGATGAGAATGATAAGAAAAAACCAAGATAGACAAAAATCGGTAATATTAAAAGAATGATCTAGCAGCCTCAAGAGAACAGTATGATCAACTGTATCAAAATCAGAAGAAAAGTCAAGAGCAAGAAGAAGAAAAAGAAGAAAAATTGAAATATCCAAGGCAAAAACAAATGCACATCATTATATTACAACCTGATACAGTGTGTTAATAATGTTATTCATGAGATTTGATGATTCTTTCAATAAAATTTATCATAATTAGTTCGTTAAAAAAAATCAATCTTTAAACATTGTTAGTTCTAAAGTTTCGAGGTCATATCAAATAATTTTATTTTTAATTTTTACCACTTTTTGATGAAAATTTTCGATTAAAAATCTCATTTCAATGAACTATGTATGAGATGAATGTATAAGATAGAACTAAATTTTCACCAGTTTTTCAATATAAGCCATTCAATTTGTTTTCCACAATAACACTTATAAATATGATACACAATACATGCATGATGCATTGTCATACCGACAATCTTATCTTTAAAAAATCTTAAAAAAGTGTAATTTTTTTGAAAAAATATATAAAATATATAACAAAAGTAATGTTATTTTCTGAAAAATTGTTTTTTCTAGTTTGGGTTATCCTCCAAAAAATTTTCTATTTGATAAATTATAGCTGACGCGTTAAAATGATGATAAGTGCATGTTCTTTTTGCCAGGTTTTTTCTCATCCATTTTTTCAGATGCTGGATGTTTTTTATTTTGCAAAATGAAAATAACTTTTTGAACGTCAAATTTGTTTATTAGCTGAATAATGTTGCTCGTTATTAACTAAATCAAAAAAAACGTTTTTTAGATAAGTAACAATTGTCGTTGTTATCTATGAATGTACAGTACAACACAAAACCATACACAAACATAAACATACATACATAAGTATATAAAAATTATACATAAACATACATGATCGTAGGTAGATACGGAAAGGTTTCTTATGTTAGTTATATACATATGTACTTACGGCAGAAATTTTTGTAAAAAATATTTATCCTAATGTTGCTTCAGACACGTATTTTGTTTTCAATAATTTTGTTGTTGCTGGGATTATTGTATACACTATTATACTTATTATAACTATTATTCATATTAATTACTGGTTTTTTTTATATTTTGTTATTCAGTTTTTTTTTTGGTCAATATTCTAGAAGTTATTTTTTAAGAAGCATCAAAGACACCTGCTTGACTGTAAAAAAAACATCCCAGCTACCAATTTTTTTTTCAAAGTAGCATAAATATAAAATATGTTAGCACTAAAAACTTTTAATGATACAGCCATACTGGAGAGTAAAAAGTATGAACTAGTAACGATAAAAATGTGTAAAATTATCTATCCAAGATTGCAAAACAACAAAATTAAGCATATAAATGCTTACACAAACAACACAATCATAAACAACAACTAATTAAACAACATAGACGTAAGCATAAAACCAGCAACAACAACAACAACGCAAACATAACCGACAAACCAGCATAAACAACGTAAACAGTGAACAACATCAGACATAGTATGAACAAAAATGAAAAATGTTAACAACTGCACTAAGTTGTCATTGGTTTCCGACAGCGGCTGCACCGACGTCTGACATTCCTTTGAACAGGTAACAGTGAATTTAAAAAAAAAATTGTAATTTTTAAACCAAACAAATCTGAATATAACGCAAAGTTTTAATTAGAATTTTTTTAGTAAATAATAGCAGAGCAATTTAAAACCCAAATATAAACACTTACGTTTCCAAAGAACAAACAATGAGAATATAATATACCCTACTCGAACGAAAAAATTTACTAATAGTAATAAAACTCCTAAAGAGAAAAAAATAAAATAAAATTTACAACCTACGGCAGTTCTTGCGACCTTGCCATTCATCAGCTCTTGTTACCGTATCAGCAGCAGTGATAATAAGCAGTAAAAAACATCAATACCAAAACACTAAAAACAACGACACACACTAAAACATCAACAACACACTAACAAGACATCAACAACGCAAACAGCAACAAAACAACAATGACACTAACAAACAACAACACACATCCCAACAGCAAACTAGAAAAAATGAGAATTTGGAAAATCACCGCTAGCCACAGAAATCAACTTCTAGATCTTCTAGCTAGCCAATCTGACCTCATCGTCAAAAAATTTATGTTACATCTCCCAATACATATATTCATCAGTGCGTACAAACATATATGCTCACAAACATATGCTCACAGACGATTCCACAAGAAATTAAAGATTGTAACACTTTGCATCTTTTTAAAAATAAACTGAAAAATTTTTTAATTCCGAAAAGTTCTGTTTTTCAAGGATAATAATGTATATGTATATATATGTATATAAGTGTGTACATATTTCATTAACATTGATACATTTTCTCCTATTGACAATTTTATTTTATCATTGAGAAGCAATTTTGAGCTGCACGGTGGCCGAGCCCACAAGAATTAATTTTCTTTTTTTGGTCTCCGAATCATTCATGCTTTTGTTTTGTTTGATTGAATAAAAGTGATTTGATTTTGATTTGAAACACACGATCATTTGTACACTGTACACACACATTTACACTCACACATACACACACACACATCCACTAACCCTAACCCACACACATACTCTCACACACATACACACACAGGCACACACCGAAACAAACACGGACATATGTTATATATAAATTTTTGCAGAATTTATTGTACTGAAGAATTGAGTGGCATGATCGTACATTGTTTCCATCTTAAAAATTTATCTAATTACTTTCGTTCAACAAAGGAGTCATTATCAATTTCTTCTACGATGAAAAATTTATGGTTCACTTTCTTTGAATATTTTAAATAACAAGTAAGAGTTGAAGAAAAAAATAATACACAGTAATAATTATTCTTACTTAGAACAATCAAATAAATTTCATTAAGTTTTTAATGGAAAATTATAACAAAAACAAAAGAAAAACAAAAATATGAAATGAACCATAAAAAAATTTAAAAAAGCCATAAAAATCCTAATAAAGATAAAAATAATTATAAAACTAATCGAACTAGGATAAGCCAAAACCCCGAATTATGCGAAAAATTTTCACTTGATGTCTTTGTGTGGTGATTGTCATTCCTTAACTACACATTCAAGAAGGATTAAAACTCAAGCCTAGTTTGCATCTTAATGCTCATACCTAGCTACCTTAAAATTTTGTATTCGTACATAAATACCATATCCATTTCAATAAAATACCAAAGCGTGTGTGTGTATGTTTGTTTGTGCGTGTGTGTGTGCGTATGTATGTGTGTGTGTGTGTATGTGTGCGTACCTTATACCCACTTTTAATAAATCTTAATACACCCTAATTAACACAGCAGTGTTTGCGTGTGTCTGCGTGTGTGTGTGTACGTGTGAGTGTGGTTATGTGTTTGATACAGTTGTATATTCACACAACCACAGTACCAAATTTAATAGCTAGACTTTGGCAATGTTTATGAGAAGACAAAGATGATAAAATTAACTCGACTCAACAGTCGATACGTCATACCTCTTGTCTGCATTGTAGTGCTTTTTAGTGTGCAAACTAATGACGCCGTCTAGTTTTTAAAGTTATTGAAATGGATGTTTTCGTTGTCGTTGTTGTTGTTACTCTTGATAATGACGTCACCAATTTTGTTATCATCGAAATCAATTCTTCGTCATTTTCATAATAGCATCATGAACGCAAAAATAGCCTGACCGGTAAAAGGTTACAGATAGTTAGATGTAACGACTATTGTACGCACAGACGTGTTGTAATAGAAATGTAGATTGTCTTTTCATTCATTTATCTTTTTAAATCACTCACTTCATCATGTCATTTTTGTTGTAGGAAAAAATATCTCGGCTATATATATTGTACATATCCCTTTAAATACTTTTGTATTCAGGTGCATGTGTACTTGGTAGGTACGTACATACGTACGTGCACTTATATGTGTGCATCTTTTATAATTGAACTTCATCTCAGATATATATGTGTGTGTGTGTGTGTGTGTGTGTGTGTGTGTGTGGTGTATGTGTGGTGTGTGGTATGTGCGAGCGTTCACAACGAGTACATGTTGCGTGCGACAGTAGGATTTAAAACAAGATATGACCAGGGAGTTTCTGGCTGAAAAGAAGATTGTAAATGATGCTCATTGTTTGTGGGTCTACATTTCTGTATGTTCGTGTGTGAATACAAATTGTGTGTGGATATGCTGTTATATATCAGTGTGTACATGTGTGTGTGAGTGTGTGTGTCTGACTAAATATCACACAGAAACACACAGATACAAACTTACATATACAAGCATACGGATACAAACACACAGATACAAGCATACGGCAAAACACAGATAAAAACTCAAAGATACAAACATACAAATACAAACATACGGATACAAACATACAGATACAAAACATGCATACGAAAGTGTTAAACGTGATGCAAATTATGCAAGCCATCACACCAACCAGAACAACCGGACATAACACTTTGATATGTTTATGGGGACGTAAGAACCAACCAGCTGACTGACCAGCTGATTGACTGACCAACTGAAGCATCTCATACAAACATCATCGTATCATACTTTTTTGGATTTTTAGTTCTTCAAAAAAAAAACATAACGGAAAATTTTTTTTTATTTAAATAAAAAATTAAGAAATTATGTTTTTAACTTTTTAATATAATTAATAAATAAAATTTTACAATAGAAAATTAAATTTTGAGAAAACAGATCCAGCTTTGAATTTTTTTAAAAACATTACCATCATTGTCACAATGTTTTTTTAATGTAAGCTTAAACATTTTATTTTTAATCGATTCTTTACAACTTTTCTTAGAAAACTCGATGCAGCACAATTTTTCTCGCCATCTATCAATTATTGCTGACACAACAGACTTTAAAAAGTTAGAAAAACAAACTGAAGCAGAAAAAAACCTCAACAAATTGGCTTTGACATTTGAAACTACAAAAATCAGCCAGCAACTGCAAATCATCAAAAAACAAGGCGAGAAAGTTGAGTGAAAGATTGAACAAAAGTAAAACGCCGACAAAAGTTATGAACAACACTGCAAGGCAAAATAAATGAAATAGATCAAATGCAATACAACGTATTACAATATAATACAATACATCAACAACAACAACAACAACAACATCATCAATACAACAACATCAACAACGTTGCATCAACACAAAACGTTTATAAAAACACCAAAACATATCCCAACAACACTCACATACACACACCTTCAACAGCATATAAAACAACTCACAGCACAAAGGATTTCCCGACATGCAAACCAACACTAAAACAATTCCTTCAATACTTGACCGCTTTCGGCTTCAACAAATTTAATATTAATAACAAAAATAATAAAAATCATAATAAAATTATAATAATAATTGGCGCAACAAGAAAAACAAATAAAAATTTAAATAAAATCCCCACACTTGCTACCAAGAATTAAATCTAAAGAGAAATCACATCACAATTTCTGCAAATTATTTCAAATTTCAGCGATCAACAATTGCTAGCGTTAGAAGCATCAAAGAATACATCAAAAATTACATCAAAAAACATTAACCACATGACAAAAACATCAATAGCAACAAAACAATAATCATGCCTTGCAAGATTACTAAACCGACCGATAAAAAATTGTTTATATGAATAAACAGACATGAAGTTTTACTATGTTACTAATGTAACTAATCACAGATGATCGAAATCATTTCGAAAAACTTATAAAAAAATATGTATAAATGGAGTAAATTTCACAAGACAAGTGCAAGAGTAGCAAGATAAAGGGATACTAACATTCATCGAAGACGTTTGTGGGAACATGCACGGTACTGTTTTGGTAGTTGACGAACTGTTTGAATGCTGTGTGCCTGGCGTCTTCAAGCTGAAATTCGACGCTTAAATTTTTGGCCTTTGGATAGCTCATCTAAAAATAATTTAATTTTTAAACATTTTAAGTTTCAGTTTTCAAATATTTTAGTATTTATTTATTGGAGTTAATTTGAAAATTTAAAAAAAGAGGGATTATCCCAGGCTGATCAATATTGTTTTGGAATGTTATATGTATAAAACGTGATCATTCTGACTATAGAACTGATATCATCACAGCATTCATCATCATCATTATCATCATTATCAACATAATCATCACCATTACAACCACAATTATCATCATCGTCATTATCATTATCATCTCCGCAACATTCATCATTATCATCATCATCATCGTTGTCACCGTAATCATAACCATTGTTACCCCCGATTTATCATTATCATCATTTTCATCATCGTCATCCTCATCATCATCATCAACGTCGTCGTCATTATCATCATCATCATTCCACGAAAGATGGTGGCTTGGTTATCAATAATTCAGCAGAGAAACAGTCAAGTGCGAACGAGTCATGGTAGCAGAAGAAGAATTTCAAATTTTCAACATTTTATTTAATTTTCTATTTTGAAAAATAATTAGAAAATTTATTTAGATTATAATTAAATTTGTAAAATAAAATTCATTATATTATTCTAAGTTATAAATATTATAAATGAAATTCACTACGAATCAGTAGGCTGATGACCGAGATGGTGGTGCTGATGATCATAGTCAGTATAGCGAAGATGTTGATTATGATGAAAATGAGTGTGATCAAATAGATAATGATCATAAGAGTTCTGATAACAGAATAAAAATAATAAAAATATTATGCGTAATTATTTGAAAAATTGTGCTAATATTCTTACCAAAATAAAATTGTAGCAATGCAAAATTCTTTTTTTTTCCTTTCCCTCCCTCTCTTTTTTCTATTCTCTCTTTATCTCTCTCCTCTCTCTCTTTTTATTTTTCTCACTTATTTTTATCCTTATTTTGTTTTTCAATTTGTTACTTTCTTCAGCCCTCCGGCACATTTATTTTCACAAAATGGCGCACCGTCGTAAAACACAAGAAAGAAAGAAAGAGAGAAAGAAAGAGAGAAAGAAAGAGAGAGAAAAAGAGAGAGAGAGAAAGAGAGAGAGAGAAAGAGAGAGAGAAACTTAAGAAAAGAGAGAAGAAAGAGAAGAAAGTTAGTGTCAGACTAATAACATTCGGATGGCTGGACGAAGCATAGTGCATACTTGCTTTTTAACTTCTCTCTTTCCATTTTTTAATTTTTTATCTTCTTTTTATAATTCATTCTTTTTTTCTTCTTATAACTCTCTCTTTTTTTCTCACTTTCTTTCTCTGACTCATCTCTTCCTTTTGTTATCACCCACTCTTTTCTCTCTCTCTCTCTCTTTCTCTCATTAAACTGGTTACCACCGTATTAATATTTATTATTTATTTATGTGGCTTGTTTTTGCTTTACGACCAGAGTTATTATTACAAGTGTGTTGCAGTGTCAATTTGTCTACTTACTAAACTTCTTATCTGAATGCACTTTTACACACATAATATATACTCGTTAATTAATTTATTTATTTACAATGTATAACATAAATAAAACCAAAACGTATTTAAATGTATATATGTAAAATGTATATATTTAAATTTTTATATTGTATGTTGTGTATGCAATAATACATTTTGCTTGTATTCTGATGTCTAAAAGTCAATATTCGTTTGATTCGGTATTTTTTGATAAAATTTTTTTGTGGTTGTTCGTTTGTATGTCCATGTGTTTGTATGTTTTTCTGTGTGTATGCATGCGCATGTGTGTGTGTGTGTGTGTTTGTTTTTCTGAAATGATTAAATGATTGAGTTTTTTTTGGAGTTTAATCTGAGTTAATTAATTTAAATTCTGCGTAGCATGTGATTAATTGATTGATTGGTTGATCGATTGACTGATTGTTTGATTGATTGACCGACCGACTGACTGATTGATTGACTAATTGATTGATTGGCTGGTTTATATAACATTCAAACGAAAAATGCAACCAAAAATATTAAATGTAATAATAATTTTAATGAGAATGATGGTGATGACGGTGATGATAATTGTGGCGATAGTGATTATGATGATGATGGGAATAAATAACGAGAATAATAATAATTAAATTCCGGTTGGTCCGAAGAACATTCTTAATTTCCTAAGAGAATATCAATCTGATAGCTGATGCTGATGATGATGATGACGACGACGACGACAACGATGATGATGACTATGGTGATGATGTGATGATGATGATGACGACGGCGATGATGATGACTATGGTGATGATGTGATGATGATGATGACGACGGCGATGATGAGGATGGTGATGAAGCGTTTGAATGGTAAATATGAATAATAAAACTATCAAGATATCAAAATAAAGAAGAATATTTAGCGTATCTGTTTTACTGAAGATAATTCTGATGAAAGCTTATATTGGTGGTGATATTTGCAATGATTAATACGACGATGACGACGATGATGATGATGATGATGATGATGATGATGATGATGATGATGACGATGACGATGATTAGTGATGATGATGATGATGATTGGAATGGAATTAGATTGTGAAAACAAAATCCTCATCACTAACTAACCAACCTTCACCTCCTTATTAGCTTCATAATTGGCATACGCAGTTTCTGCTGCTATCAGCAACCTCTGTAGAAAAAAATATATATGGAAAGTATAATAAATATTATATCTGATTCGTAATTATTATTCAAATACATTTGGAATTTTATAATTAATTTAATTAATAATATATTGTATAATAAAATATTAATAAGAATAATAAATTACTATTGTAGTGTTGTGCATAAGAACCACTGAACGAAAGAATGCAATGAATGAATGATTGATTGAATGAATGCGTGAATGAATGCGTGAATGAGTAAGTGAATGAACGAATAAATGAGTGAGTGAATGAATTAAATAAAAATATGCAAATGAACAACTAAACAAACATGTGAATGAATGATCCAACAAAAAAGCCAAAAATACATCTATACACATTTATACCTTAAAATACCAAATTCCAAATATAACCGGTGTAATGGCTGTACGTATCGAAACAGGTATCAAAACAAGTATCGATACAGGTTTTAATACAGGTATCGAAACAGGTATCAAAACAGGTATCGAAAAAGATGTCCATACAGGTATCGATACCGGTATCCATACAGATATCGAAATAGGTATCGATACTCGTTGTGATGAAAAGTTATACATTTTAAAATTACCTCTCCTGATTAGAAAAATCGCGGACAGGTGTAAAAAATCAGAAAAAAATTCTTCATATGCAGGTAGGTACATACGCACATATTCATCTCAGTGCATTCTCTAATTATATTTCGACCTTGAAAGTTTCGTTCACATTACTTTACAAATGAATGCAGCCACATGCTAGCCTCTCTTGCAGGAGTTTAAAACTCAAAAACATCTCAGACAGTGAGTTATCAATTTTTTCAATATTTTTTTTTGTATAAAACCAAGAAAAAACACTTCTACCCATTTGTTTTTGGTGTGGTAATTTTTTATTATAAATGATACTTCTGTGTGCGAGATGAAAGCTAAGGTTGTTCTGATGTCTGATGTGCTATCCACATGTGATACTGTACCGTACTTTTTATTTTAAACCAAATTTAACTGATTTTTAGCACTATTTATAACCACTGCTTTTGTATTTGTATCACAAAATCACTTCTTTAATAACTCAATAAATTATAAAGGTAGCTAATTGTTGGTTAATAACTAACGAATAAATAAATGCATTTATAATTAACAAAACTCATTCTATTTTGATTTATTTAGTTGCCTTTTGTCATAAACATCATCATCATTATTCTTTTAAATGAAAATAAACTTTTGTCATTCAACTTTCACCTTTTACGACGATGCAATTAATTCAACAATATGGGCGGGCGTCACATAGAAAAATACTTTTTCATAAAGTTATGAGAAAATTTTCCGAGATAAAAAAAAAATAAAATTTTGTGTTAAAATAAAAATAAAATAAAATCACATCAGATTTTAGTACTTTTTGCACTTTTTAACGAAATAATTATCTCGACGTTCTAAAGAGAACCAGCCGAAAGGATTGTCAAATTAAAATGACGTCATAATGATTAACACGCACACACTCACACACTAATACACATTCACCCACACTCACATACGTACACACACACACTCACACACACACACACACACACACACACACACACATAATAACTAAAGCCAACCGCAGAACATACGCTCCAGAAGACTATGAAACATTCCAATGTAATTATATATCAATAGACTCACGCACACGCATTATAATTTGGTTATTTATGAGTGTGTGCGTGTGAAGACGTGTTTGTGTGTGTGAATGAGTGTGTTAGTGTGTGAATGAGTGTGTGTGTGTTGTGTGTGTGTGTAAATGCGTGTGCGTGAGCGTGTTTCATGCGTTTCATTTCTCTTCTACTTTGAACTATCACATAAAATTTTGATTAATTCCACAGGAAATTATATCACCCAAATGGATGTTTCATTTTCAAAGACAACCGTTCATTTAAATTCATGAACATACTGAGTTGAGTGAAATGTATGTAGTACTATTATAATTTGTTGTTTGGATTATATTTGTATCAAACTGCCTGTATGTTTTGTGTAGTTCCAAAAAAAAAATTTTTTACAGCATTCATTAGACATACATGCATACTTTAGAAAACATTTGAAAAATGGACCAAACTATATGTATTATGTTTGTTTTTTATGTCGATGAATTTTTTATTTTTTAAACAAAATGTTTGAAAAAAATTTTATTTTTAGCAATGTTTATCTATCTGATTTATTACATCCACGTAAAACATATAAAAAATATAAACAAATATATGTGTGTGCGTGTGTTTGTGTGTGGGTATGTGTGTGTGTATGTGTGTGTACCGTGTGTGTGTGTGTTTGTGTTTGAACAAACAAAATATATAATAGAAACAAAAATAACACAGTGTTAAAATATTTATAAATATTCAACGTATTGTGTTGTTTGCGTTTTAATATAAGCAAAATAAGAAATAGGCAGAATGAGAAGAAAAAAACGAACAAAAATGAAAACAGAGATATAATGGAATTATGTTAGCTGCACATCAAAATACAATTAGATTATTGTAAGTGTGTGTGTGTACGTGTATGTGTTTTTGTATATTTTAAAACGTATGTGTGTGTTTGTAGATGTCTATGTACGTATATGCTTTCTACGTTTTGCGCGTGTATGTGTGTGTTTGTGTATATGTGTTTTTATGTGATGGTATGTGAATTTTTAACTTTTTCAAAATATCATCTTGAAAGGCAAAACTTCAATTTTTGTTCTATCTAAAAAGAGCCAACTTTAGCAAAGTTTCAATTTTTCCACGTAAAATCCATACCTTCATAAAAAAAACTATCCATCATTCCACAAATAAAATTATTTCAACAGCTATTTCAGCCGCAGAAATTTGATGATATTTTATTTCACTCCTTAAAATAAAATTTTATATCATTTTTTAAATACTCTTCATTTTTTAAGAATATGTGAAATTTTAGTTAAATCAATTTGAAGATAGATCTTATAACGTAATCATAAACCCTGCTAACATGATAATATTTTATCATCATTATTTGATTATTATGATTAGTTTCACAACTATAATGGACATCATCATTATTCTTATCATCTTACACACGCACGCACACACGCACGCACACACGCACACACACACACATGTACACACGCGCGCGCGCACACGAACACACGAACACGTGCACATAAATATGGAAACATGGTGGTGAGGTTGGTGGTGCGTGATGGGAAACAACTTTCCCATTAACTCGCTAATGTGTTTAGTGGGATTGGTGCATGGATGAATGGATGGATGGATGGATGGATGGATGGATGGATGGATGGATGGATGGATGGATGGATGGATGGATGGATGGATGGATGGATGGATGGATGGATGGATGGATGGATGGATGGATGGATGGATGGATGGATGGATGAATAGTTGGATGCGTGGATGCGTGGATGAGTGGAGAGAAAAGGATAAATAAATGAATGAATAAATTGATAAATTAAAATTTATTGTGAAGATGAACAGATAAAAAATAAATAAATAGCCAGATTGCTATTAAAGTAATGCATATAATGGGTGTTTGTGGAAAAATAACTGGCGAAATTAAAATGATGGATTGATTGAGGTAATTCACCGAACGATTGATGGATGAATTTGTTGTAGGATGGATGAATGAGTGAACGAACAATCAAACAAGCAAACAAACGAACAAAAGAACCAACGAACAAACGAATGGTTGAGTGATTGAATGAATGAATAAATGAATGAATGAACGAATGAATGAAGGAACGAACGACCAGATGGATAATAATGATGAATTGACGAAATTCTCAGGCGCTTGAAACTTTAATCGCCCAAATGAATGAACCCATCATTAATATAACTATACAAAAATTATTCTACTCATTCAAGATATGTTAATGTTAAGAATAACAAAAACAACAATAATAATAATAATTAATAATAAAACAATAAAAACAATAAAAATCCTTCATTGAAAAGATAAATTACATTAAAAAACAAAAAACAAATTATTAACATTAATTCAAATAAAGCAAATATGATAAAAGACCAAGCGCCGAATAATTATCCATTGATGTACGGTCGGTAGTTTTTCAGGTTTTATATTAAAACGCCCTTACTGATTTAGCCACGCTTTAACGTTGAATAAAATGACAAAATGGAAGATAAAAATAAAAAAATTGTAAAATTTTTTTGAAAAACTCAAGTTTTGGCAAAAAATAAAATGGTTTTCAAGGACTATTAGTTGTGGAATATAGGATTTCTACAAAAAAATTTTCAACAAATATGAAATGAGAATTTGTTGTTAACATCATAAAATAAATGATCGATTTTTTTTAAACTGTATTCCTCCAATAACATAACAGGAAGAAAACATTGTTAGCAAAATGGCCACCGGAAGTAATAAAATATGAAAAAGTATTTTTTCTATGGATCGTCGTCATCATCATCATCATCATCATTACCATCATTGCCGTCATAATCAACGTCATCAGCGTCATTACTATTATCATCACTATCGTTTGTCATCGTCTTCATTTTATTATCATCATCTTTAACACTATCCGTTTTATTCACTATTGCCGTGCTATCATTATCTTTATTACCATCGTCATAGTTAAAGTTGTAGTGCTGTAATGTTGTAAAGTTGTAGTGTTGTAATGCTGTAAAGTTGTAGCGTTGTAAAGTTGTAATGTTATAGTGTTGTAAAATTGTAATGCTGTAGTGTTGTAATGTTGTAATGTTCGTATGTATTAGTTTCATTTTTCTGGATATGATTAAAATCAGACGCATCTTTTGTTCGTGTTATTTATGGTCTTTATTTTGACAACAATGTTTTTGTTCTTATCACCATCCACCATCATCACCATCTATATCATCACTGTTATCACCATCGTCATCAACATCATCATCGTCGTCATCATCGTCATCATCATCGTCATCATTTCTGTAAAAAAAAACAAAAAATATATAACCATTTATCACGCAAATGTCTTTTATCATGTTCGATTCATCTTGATCGTCATCGTCGTTACCATCGTCTATGGCGTGGCCATCATCATCACCATTGGAATTATCATCATCGTCATCACATTTTTCATTATTAACATCGTTATTATCATCGTCGTCGTCATGTTCTTCATTATCATCATTAATCATAATAACTAATTCTCATTTGTATTAATTTATATCATCATTTCTTTTACCGCAATCGTTAGCTTCAACTCTTTACAAAAGTTATCATTTTATAATCTTATTCAACGAGCTCTTTCAACAGCAACAACACAACAAACACAACAACAACAGCAAAACAACAACAACACAAATCACAGCAACACAACACCAACAGCAAACAACACAACAAACAACATAGACTAACTTGTAGTGCTACAGATTTCTTCAAGAACAACGCCTCGAGCAGTCCTTTAAATTTCTCCACAAGTTTCAAACCATCTACTTTAACAATTTTCGATGGAACCAAAAGGTACTCCTTGTGAAAAAATTATCGAAAAATTGAATAAAAACGGCATACAAACACAAAAACAGCTACAAATAAAAACATACAAAAGCATACAAACAGACGGAAACATACAAAAAACATAAGCAGACAAAAACTAACAGTTTGCAGTTCCGTTAGGGAAGTAACTTTTGTTGAAAGAGATACTAGGATTCTATGCAATGTGTTGGCCCAGGTTGTAGCTCTGAAAACATTTTGGTTGGATGCATTGCTTGGTGATTGTGTTGTTGTTGTTTTCAGTGTTTCTGTTGTTGTTTTTTGGTGTTGTTGTTGGTGGTGGTGGATTTGTTGTTTTTGTTTTTGATAACGTCCAAGACATTTTTTTTGAATGTTTGGCCATGTTTTTTTATGCTATTGAAAAGTTTTGACAATTTTTTCAAAATTTATTAGCGTCTATTTTAAGCCTGATAAGAAATTTTTTTAAACTTTCGTTCTGCATTTTCATCATGTTTTGGCTCATAAAAAAGATGAGAATTATTTCTGAGCCAGCAAATTGAACGAAAAGTTACCCACGCATATAAAAATAGACAAATGACAAAGCTGGATAAAAAGAGATTGTATTCAACTTCTCCATCATCTTCAATGTTCTCCTGTTTCATATTTCTCTTTCAAGGCTTGAATGGTAATTTCACAAACCATGACAACACACACACACACGCACAAACACAGACACTCTCGCACAAACACACACACACATTCACACATTCACACACACACACACACATTATCACACACACCACAACAAGGCAAAGAATTCAGCGAATCGTACACCGGGCAGCAATATATCGCCTAAAATTTCACCTCATTTTTATGATCATCTCTCACGATTTGGAAACAAGTACATCAGGCATATTCATTTGTTTCTTGCGAATATTTTTAAGTAATTTTAAGAAATTAGAATAATATTTAACTAATCAATCAATTAATTAATTAATCAATCAATCAACCATTCATTCATAATTAATTAATAAATAAATCATTCATTCATTCATTCACTCACTCATTCACTCACTCATTCATTCATTCATTCATTCATTCATTCATTCATTCATTCATTCATTCATTTATTTATTCACTCATTCATTCATTCATTCATTCATTCATTCATTCATTCATTCATTCATTTATTTATTTATTCATTCATTCATTCATTCATTCATCTTTACATGGCAAAGTAAAATATGATGATGATTCGACGATGATGGTTACGACAATGCAGAGGATAATACGACGATGATGATGATGATGACAACGACGATTACGATGACGATGATGATGATGATGATGACGATGATGATGATGATGATGACGATGATGATGATGATGATGACGATGATGATGATGACGATCAAGAAACAGAAGACAATATGGAATTACATAATTGAATAGCGGTCTGTTGGGGTTGTTGTCTTACTGACGCCCAACAAATTATTTTATTATTATTCTTTTGTATAATTTTTGTTGTTATTATTATTATTGTTGTTGTTGTTGTTATTGGGAAAGTTGTTGTTTTTATTTTTATCATTAATCATTAATGGGTAAAAAAATAAAAGGAATTGTTCATACATAAAGAACAGACTGGATCGTTTTTCAAAGCGTGCCAACCAGCAAACAAACAGACAGATAAACAAACAAATGAACGAGAGAACAAACACTAATAAACAAACAAACGAACAATGCACTAATGAACAAACATACACATATTTTATAGTTTCCAACTCCACACAGTTACCATAAAAATACATTTATACAAATGACATTTACACACAAACCTTTAAAACTTTAGGCATAAAAATACAATTCACACACAAACATTCAACAAAAATATCACCCATAAACAATAAACTCAACAATAAAACCTAAACATGTTTGTACACGTACGGAAATAAACACACACACACACACACACACACACACACAAAACACGCACTAACACTATGATGGCGGTAGCAAGCAATAAGGTTGGATTCGAAACACACGTGATACTAATGCCAAATGACATCACGTTGCATGTGCAACAATACATCTGCACATCATATGTTTGTGTGCGTGCGTGTGTGCGTATGTGCGTGTGCGTGTGTTAGTATGTTTGTCTGTTTTGGTTTGTATATTTGTGTATGTATGTTTTTATGTATATGTATACAAGTAGATAGGCAATGACGTTCGCTAATGTTGTTAGTCCTACTAATTTACTATGCTCACTTTTGAATTGAAGTATTTAGAACCCAACACAAACATTTATGTGGGTTTTGTATGCTTACGCACACGTATATGCAAGTTGCGCTTACGAGTATGAGAACATAGAACACACAAAACAAAGAACAAACAAAAAAACAAACAAACAAACAACGCTCCTATGTAACAGCGCGCACACCAACTCAGATTATTTTTCTCTTTACGCTTTCTACTAATTGCATTTTTCAGCAACAACTGTATACGTGCGTGTGCGTATGTAACAGTGTGCGTGTATGTGCGTATTTGTATGTGTGTGCGTATGTGTGTACATGTACGTATGTGTGTACGTGTGTGTACGTGTACGTGTGTGTGTGTACATGTGTGTGTATGGTTGAATATGTACGTGTATAACCATAAACTAACATACGTACGATTGCAAAGACGCATATAACCACGAAATTCAAATTTATTCCTTGGAAGAAAATAAGAGGATAACATAGGGATTAGATGATTTCAGATGTGTGTGTATTTGAACATCTCGTAACATTTTCCAACGTTTGAGATAGTAAAATTTGTGCTTGTAGACTGTTTAATACGAAAGATTTGCTTGTATTTGAACTACTTGAAAGTATTAATAGCATTAATTAAACGTGTTAATGTTAATATTGTAAAATTTACACCGTATATAAATGTTCATAAATAAAGATAGAAGAAACTCGCAGATGCAAAAACTTTTTAACATAAAATTCTAAATTCTTTTCAAAATACGAACACACAGCAAGAATAATAACAAACAAACTAAAATTTCACTCAATATACCGGTATAAGACCATAAAATTATACAAACATAAATACCCATATACAAAAATACAAAACAAATATATAGATATACAAAAGATGAATTCACAATAGTCCAGGCATATATCAAATTCAGCTATTTAGCACTTTCCAACAAAGCAGTACCAAAAAACTTGCCTATATACCAGCCTATATACGTGTCTATATACATGTCTATATGCGTGTCTATATACATGCCAATATACATGTCTATATACGTGTTTATATACATGCAAATTAAATACACTTGGATACAAAACTGATACAAACTCACGGATACAAAAATGTTAAATTTGTATTGAAACTAAATACAATACAATGCAAGCACGCAAACAACTTGCATACACATCATAAAATCAATACAAAGATTACCAAATTATAATGCAGAAAATCTAAATTATTTTTATCAAACAAACGAATGAACGAACGAACAAGCAAACAAACAAACGAACAAACGAACGAACAAACAAACAATCGATACACACATGCAATCATGAAAATTTGAAAAACAGCCGCAACATTATTATTATTATTTCCAAATGATCAAATAGGTGCCTCGAATTTGAAGGAATACATTTTGAAAAGTTAATAAAAACATAAAAAAAATCGATTTTAATGTTCTTATTTTAGTATTTCTAAGAAAACAATTTGTATCAAATTAAAATAAAACAAATGCAAAGTCAGAACAACGTTAGCATAGGCTCTGTATAAAGTTTGTTTTAAATAGCTCCAAACGTTCTTATGCTGCACGCACTTCTAACCACACATAAACACACACACTAAAAACTATACCACACATGTACGCGCGCACACACCACACACACACACACACACACACACACACACACACACACACACGAACACACACACACACACACATGTTTATACTACATACATGTTTACACATACATATTCATCAAATGGTTCACACATACATGTTCACAGGCACGAACACTCGTTCGTTCTTTAGCGTTGAATTGAGGAAAGCAAGAATGGAACGGATGACAAACGATATAGACTTTGTTTGCTATTAGGTGGCTGTTTGTTGTGGTGTTGTGGTATTGTGGTGTGGTGTGTGGTGTGGTGTGGTGTTGCGTAGTGAGATGTGGCTCGGTGTGGTGGTTGTGTGGTGTGTAAATGATAATTTATTATTTGAAAATTAATAACATTCTTGAAACATAATCCAATCTGATTCAAAACAAGCAATGAAATGCCATCACGAGTCAATAAAGTTTCATCAAATCATAGGTTTCTATTAATGAAAAATTGAACATACGCCACGTGATTCACCCCTTGAAACGTTTTTATTGTTTTGTAGTAAATTAAAATTAAAACCAAAAATCAAAAAAGTTAATAAAGTAAAAAAATAATTAACTCACAATTTCCTTGGAAACTTGAGACCTCTTTTTTGAAATACTTTCTGGCCATCATCATCACCACCACCACCTTTATCATTATCAATAACTTTTTCTTTATATTTATCATCATCACTATTACTGCCTCCTGTTTTATCATCATCATCATCTGTGACTATACCGTCATCATTATCATCATCACCACCGTTTGCTTTAATGTTGGCATCATCGTCAGCATAGTCATCACTCTCATCACCTTCATCATCATCATTGCTATCACTACCTACTTTAATATTATTGTTATTATTTTTGTTATTATTATTATTATTTTTGTTATTATTATTATTATTGTTATTATTATTATTAATTTCACCATCATCGTCGTCGTCGTCATCATCACTCTGCATGATATCGTTTCTGTACTCTCCATTATACTTTATATCTTTTTTATTGGTCTGAAGTCTGATGATATTACCAGGTACGTAATCGAATTTCTTTTTCTTAACCTCTCTACTACCACTGCTGCTGCTGCTGCTACTCTTACTACTGTTACTGATACTAATTTTACTATCTTTACTATCTTTAGCGTCACCAAAGTTGCTATTTTTGAATTCATAGGCAACATGCTTGTTAAAAATGTTCCCATTTAGGCTTAATCTTTCGTAATCCCCGATGTTATTGTCTTTTTTATTTTTATTCACGTTATTATTCTTCTCTATACCAATGTTATTGTTGTTGTTGTGGCTGTTGTAGTGGCTGCTGTGGTCGTTGTTGTTGCTGCTGTGGCTTTTTTTGTTGCTGTTGTAGCTGTTGTAGCTGTTGTTAGTGTTGTTGTTGTTGTTGTTGCTTAGATGTCTGTGATTTGGATGCATGGAGATAATTTTTATTTCAATTTTTTTGTTATCTTGCAGCATAGGGCAGACTGGGCGTATAAACAAGACGATAGATATTATTGTCAGTGTGACTACGGCTGTTGTTGTTTTTGCTATTGTTGTTGTCGTTGTTGTTGGTGGTGATGGTGAAATCGTTGTTGATTTTGGTGATTTCGTTGTTGTTTTCAGTGAATCTGATGTTATTTTTGATGATTTCGAGGTTGTTTTTGATGGTTTCCTTGTGGTTTCGAGTGATTTTGCTGTTGTTTGGTTTCTTGGTAGGTGTGATTTTGTCGTTTTTGTACTTCCTCTTGTAGGAAACGGCGATGGAAAAATTTTATCGATAGTTTTTGGCTGCATGGTTACTGTTGGTACTGCCTCACAAACGCTGATAACAAAAACAATAAAATGAAAAAATGTATACTACAGACTTTTATATATATATGTATATATATATATATATATATATAATTATATATATATGTATATGTCTGTGTGTATGTTAGCGTGTGTGAGCGTGTGCGTGTGTGTCTGTGTGTTTGTAGTATTTCAATTACTTTTTTTACTGCTCCAGCAGTATTTTCTATATATTTGTTATTAACTTTGCGGTATTCATTTAAATGGTTGTTGTTGTATTATCTTCTAGCTATGATAACATTTATGTCAACAACGAAAATTTTGTATATAATAAACAATAATGATATGTTTGTACACTGTTTTTGCCAGCAGTAATATTAATATTATTGTTGATGTTTATGTTTGACTATGATTACGTCATAAGTATTATTGTTGGTGATAAATACGATGACGATGATGACGACGACTGTGTCAAAATCATTTTATTCCCAGTCTGCTTTGCTCTGATGTACAATGGATGGAACACCACATAACAATGTACAGTACATTCATATATCGATTTTACTTTCCGATTCTATTTAATACTGCTAGGTGCCAGCCGAAATACTATTATTAACTGTAGTAAATATTACTAACAATATTAACAAATCATAAAAGTATTATAAAATTTCGCAACAGCACATTTAAAACATACATATATTATTAAAGTGCTTATCAGATTTATAAACGTTTTGCCCGTGAAATATATTATATATTGATTTAATCCAAAAACGAATGATGTTATCTTTAATTCTTATATCAATTCTTTATAGAATATATTTATGGCTATAGAAAAAGAAATTTGATAATTTAAGGAAAAAAAAGACAATTCAGTATTTAAAATAAATATCTGCGCTATTACATTTTTAAACATTGAATCTAACGGTGATACTAGGGTTTTGAATGGGAAATTTTTAATTTAATTCAGTAAAACTATTACTATCAAGACTGTTTTTAATGAACACTTAAAATATTATTCAAACATTTTTTTAAATAACAGTTTTATTCGATGAAACTATTCTACACAAAAAGTTAGAAAAAACTACTAGATACTACTACAACATCAGCAACAGCAAAACGCCTCATAACAATAACGCCTCACATTAACAACAAGAAAACATCAACAAGAAAACATCAACAACAACATTAAAAACCTTCTCAACATCAATACATTACGTTATCGACCGCGCTCGCATTCTTATAACTACAAGTATATGCAAGGCTTTGGTTTCTTGGTCTCATATATGTATGTATGTATGTATTTATGCATGTGTTATACATACGTTTATGTGTGTATATGTATATATATAGTATGTTAGAATATCTATATATAAATGTTTGTATATGTGTGAGTGTTTGTATAAGTGTTTGTGTGTGTGTGAGAGAGCGTATAATTTTGTATATAGTATGTTTATAGAATCTATATATCATTTATGGATCATTTGTGTGAATATGTGTGTTTGAATGTTTATATGTGTATGTGTGTGAGTGTTTGTTTGTGTGTGTATGTGTGTGTGGTGTGTGTATGTGTGTGTTTGAATGTATTTTAGATGTATTGGATGTTTAATACGTGCATTGGCTCACGATTGGCTGCCCTACACAATGATTCCTTTAATGGCGAAAGATTATTCAACTGATGAGAAGCAAGGAGGAGTAAATGTTGTAGAGAGATTCTTTTGTTTTATAATTAAGTTTTTGAAGATTTTTGTGACATGTAATTTTAATTTTCTTGACAGAATGCTCTTTTTTACTCCAAGCCATTATCTTATATTATCAATTTATATTATCAATTTTTATTATCGAAATGATAATCTAAATTTTTTTTATTCGTGCAAATAGTTTTTATAAGTTTATTCAATGTTGTTAGATTAAACATAGCAGGATTGGCTCGGCCATAAGTTTTCAACATCCAGCAAACATTTTTAATCTCGTCAAAAAATTAAGTAAATCACCAAATGCTAGAAACTCACATAAAATATTTACCGATCATAAATATTTCAACTAATTTTTTAAAAATGTATAAGCACGTTTATAGGTCAATCGACATTGGAACATTAAAAACTCAAATTCTAACCAAATGAAAGAAACATCCTTGCTGAAAGAATATAGTCACCAAGAACCAGCCAGCCATAACCCAATGAATGTTTAATAAGGAATTTGGGTACGAAAGCTTTAGAATTGTTTATAGGACGAGAGGTAAGCGTCTGTAATTAAAACGTTTATAGAATTACAAAAACTATTTAACCCAAATTGTTTCAAACTAATTAGTTATAATAGATTAGTTGTGACAAATTTGTTCAAACTGGATCACCCTATATAGGTTATTATCCGTACATGTTTTATATGTGTAAATTGTTTTTATTTATTTTTATTTATTTTATTTTTTGGCACATTGCAAAGCCTAAAAGTAATAGTTTATATTGAGTTTTGCAGTTCATTACGACGTTACTTAACAAATTAAGCTATGCGAGTTACGAAAGAAGTCAAACTTATAATACATTTAATGATGAAGAACCAAAATTTTGTAAAGAAAATTTCAATTTTTTTATACAAGAATGTTTATATGTAAATTTTAAAATATCAAATTTGATACATTTCACACACACACACACACACACACACACACACACACACACACACACACACACACACACACACATATATATATATATATATATATATATATATATATATATATATATACACACATACATACACACGCATACATACACATGTATTGTACACGTGTGTTGTACAGTGAAAATACGTAAGAAATAGTTGTACATGTACGTTTACAATAACGTAGGAATGATGTATGGAGCAATTAGTTAAGAAGATAGAAGCTGCTTTTTATGATGATGAAATCTGAGAAATGATGATGATGAGGATGATGATGATGATGAATGTGATAATGGATAGATATAACCGGATGTTGACGGCGATGATGCTAATGATGACGAATGTAATAATATTGCTATTCTTGTTAGTTGTGTTAGTGAGAGAGAGAGAAAAAAAAGAGAAAAAAGTGAGAGAGGGAGAGAGAGAGAGAGAAAAGGTAGGTTTCATTTTATTTGTGCGTGTATGTGTGTTTATGCGTGCGTGTATGTGTGTGTATATGTGTGTATGCGTGCGTGTTAGTGATTAAAATGATGACGAAAATAATGATAAATAATAAATGTAATGACGATTATAATATAATAATATTGACGACGAATATGAACGAATGAATAAATGAATGAATGAATGCATGAATGCATGAATGAATGAATGAACGAACGAACGAACGAGCGAATGAATGAAGTAAAAAATCTTTGAGATAACGCCCCATTAAGCGAAAATGCTCATGAGACTGTCCATGTTTGAACGTTTATCATTTCTTGTTCATTTAATTTTCAATAATTAACTTGTCGCATTTCCTCCTTCATATCCATCTATCGAGTTTTCTCCCATTGCATTTATATTATCGTCCATTTCTACTTTTTATTCTTTGTTTTTCTGTATTATTTTTGTTTTTCGTTTTTCATTCTTTATTTTTTTTCTATACATTAATCTATTTTTTTATTCTTAGATTAGATTCAGTTATCTGGCTATCTAGCTATTTCATCTAGCTAACATTTATTTATTCATCGTTCATTCATTTGTTTCATCATTCATTCATTCATTTACCCAACAATTCACTCACTCACTCATTCATTAAACGATGCTTCATTCATTTATTCATTCATGCATTCATTCACACATCCATCTTTTCATTACTGAATCCATTCCCACATCCATCCATTCATTCATGCATTAATTCATTCATTCATCTACCCACCCACCGATCTGTCCATCAATTCATGGATGGAAACTCGTGGAGCGCGCAAGAGAGTGGGGAAGCATTTGTCTATTGTGACGTCATTTTGGCTAATGTGAAAAAAATGTACTAGAATGTAATAGAACGTGACGTGATGCAGTGTAAGTTTGTATATTCCAGAGTAAAGTCCTGTCAATTTAACTCTTTCTGACATTAATTCAAAGAATGTAACATTAGCATGACAATACCATTTTCCCCGCAAAGTGATATTATCGTCCATTTCTACTTTTTATTCTTTGTTTTTCTGTATTATTTTTGTTGCCTGTTTTGGTTCCCATGCATAAGTGAGAGTTCTTTTTGTGTTTGCGTTTTCTTTGTATGTTTTAAAAGTGCTGTTGCGATTATATAAGGTTTAAATATATGCATGTGTGTGTGTGTGTGTGGTGTGTGTGTGTGTGTGAGTTTACGTGTGTTTATAAGTGTGTATCTAGGTGTATGTGTGTGTGTGTGTGTATTTATTTCATTTGCTTGCAATGTTAATTTTTAAAGAGGCTTTTTATTGGTGTTTTCACTTATGTATAATTATATAGAGTTGTGCGGTTCTCATATATGATGATGGTAAAATTTTGGAAAATTTCAAATTTTTAAACAATTTAGATTTTTGAAGAAAAAAAAGTTGATAAATGTCACGAAAATAATGCGAGTAAACATAGTGACGATAATGAGAATACATGATAATGATGATGGTAATGATAATGACGATAATGATGATGATGACGTCAACGATGACAACGATGATGATGATGGAAAGAGTGATGGTAACACCCTGCCAATTTCCTAACACGTGATTTTTATTGCGTTGCTTATCCGTGATGACACGTGTTTTTGCATATGTGTGTGTGTTTGTGTTGTGTGTGTAACTTAGATGAGTGTATATATATATATATATATATATATATATATATATATACACTGCAGTGGCAGAAACAAAAATATAAAAAAGCATGGGTATCTGATGAAATAATAAAATTATCAAAAAAACAGAATCGACTGTATAAAATAGCAGTCGCTGCACCAAACTCCGCTAATGTTGAAAAATATAAAAAGTTTAGAAATTACTTTACATCAGTAAAGAGAAAGGCAGAAAAAAATTATTTTCAACAAAAAT